TTTAAGTTTATATAATTTTATACACCTGAAGATGGTTCTTTTAGAACTGAAACATGTCGTGTAAAAAGTGATGATCTAATGTAAATCGAACATTTCGATAGAGAACATCATATAATATATTTTAAATATTTAAATGTCAATTATAGTAATATTTTAATATTTAATAGGAATTTTATTGTGATTAGACTGACAAGATTTAAACAAATTTTGTGAGAGATGTTTCGCCGTGTAGTCTGGTAGAAATTTACTGTAAGCTTCTACCAGACTTTTTGGGGCAACGTCCCAGAAGACAGCCATCTTCATACTCGACACCATAAGAACCTGAAATCTCACCAAGGTATTTGATGTTTTTATGGAACTGGAAAGTGCCATAATACCTGTTTTCTCCAGTACAATTTTAGTATTATTTCTCCAAATACGCCTCGGACTCACAAAATCTTTTGTTTCTAGACAGATTTTGTATTTCTCATGTCTCCCATGCATGCTTTCGTCCTATAAAAATGTTTGAAATGTAAGTTCAGGTAAGCGTGTTCTGAATCTGTGATGTCTGTGCGTGGTAAGAGAGAGACGCATTGAAATCATATAACATTTGCTATTTATTTGTTATTATGTTAATACACCTCTCCACGCTGTTACATTTGACATTCAACACTGAAACACACAACAGGGAGGCACTCATACCCATGCAAGCGCATTCACAAACAATATTTACAATTGTTAAAATAAAGGCAGCACGACTCAGTCGGCCATCTTGTTTTAATTGGAAGACATGGAATGTTGTTTCGAGGTTACCTCGAATCTAATATTGCTGGTATATTGACATTTGTACATTATTTTTATTTTAAAACAACACAGTTTATTTGTAATTATTATAAAACCAGCAAAAATGAGAAATATGATAAGCTACATACAAAAATATTTTGAAAACTATGTACATAACGTTTATACCTTGTCAGAGCTAAGCAAATAAGATTAGTTTTTTTAACACACTGTGGCAATTACTTTATCTTCTCTCAACGCAGATATACGTAATTTGCCACGGCAAGATGTCGATTTGGCTATCTCGTTCTTGCACCAACAATAACACGATCAATACCCTCTCAACGGGATCGATAAATGCAATCACGAAAAGCGTTTCTTATTTAAAACATGTTTTTTTTCTACAGTTTTCAAAAGCAGATTCTGTGTTCGCATCCAGAAACGTGATTTTGACCGACCTTCTTTTTTACGCGATGTGTAACAAAGGTGAATTTTTCTCAATGCCGATTGTTAAAATTGTGGTTTCTACTCGAACTCGTCTTTTCGCCAAACGTAGTTTTGATTTTGGCTTAGTAATTAAAATATAAAGACGTAAAATATTGAACAATTGCTAATTAAACGAGATATAAGTTTTATAATATTCTACATAAGAGAATATAGTTTTAAGCAATAAACTTTTATGTACTTTGTCTCCTAGATATTATAAGATAAGGTAGCCACATGTTAGATGCTACTTTCTATTACATCACTTGAAATACGTAGGGGCCTGGGTGACAAATTACTGTTTATTTAGGCGTAAATTTATCGCGGTTCTCTGTAAACACTGTCTCCGTGGATTCAATTTTAGACACGTATTTCACGTCTTTGATTTTAATTCAACTAATGGCAAAAATTTCATTACATTAAGCTCCAATCTACCAGTCAATTTCACTGATTATGGTACGGCAAGAGAATGGTAATAGCACAGTGTTCATTTCAAATCTAAAACTTCTTGACGATGGTGAAGAGTCAATTGAATAAAAATTTTCTCGGATATTATCCATCGTCTAGTAAATATAAAACGTAAAACGACGTTTCGGAGATGGGACTCTATCTCCGTCTTCAGGTTCTGAAGAGTCAATTGAATAAAAATTTCCTTGGATATTATCCATCGTCTAGTAAATATAAAACGTAAAACGACGTTTCGGAGATGGGACTCTATCTCCGTCTTCAGGTTCCTACACAGTTGGGCCCACTAGATAGAGCTAATCCCCATCTCCGAAACGTCGTTTTACGTTTTATATTTATTAGACGGATAATATCCAAGAAAATTTTTATTTAATTGAGTAATTCTGTCAAATTAGTCAATAGATCTTATCCCAGGATAGGGTCTTGCTTTAATAAGCAACTACTCGCTGATGGCTGACTCTTTCATTTAGAAGGCCTCGTCATTTCTCACTCGTAGTGAAGCTGTTTCTTACGCAGGACTTGGTTTAGGCCTCGTTAAACGACTTATCGACGTCCATGAGCAGATGCTTCTTCTTATCTAGTCCTGTCACTCCGTCGGTGAGTGCACGGTCAGGCAGCCATTAGATAATTCCCACAGTTGGCTGGGGCATCGAGACACTTACTGAAAGTTCATTAGTGATCATTCGAGGTGGGGCTTTGTCGAGGATCCATCGAACTTCGGTGGGTTAACCATGTCCGTTGTGGTCCTCGCGTTCCTATGAGCTGTACGGTTTTCTACCGCCCCCAGTCGTCTCCAACTCACGATATGCTACTGGAAGGCCGCGTTGAGTTGCTTCTCTCTCGTTGAGGTACTTACTTATCTCGTCCTACCACTCCGGTATCTCGTCGTGTCTCTTGCAACTCGCAGTTCAACTCCTCCAGGACACCCACGGTTAGTTATTCTGCCATACGTAACGACGCCCTATACTTGTTTGTCAAGCTTATCCGTACGTTTCCCTTCAGCGTCATTTAACATATTTCGTACGCCTGGTCGCAACATTTTTATTTGTCCACACATCTCAGTGAACGGCCACACAATCTCAATTGCCTTACAGAATTATACATGCAAATTAAAAATGAAACGAAAATGATTGTGCAGTTTCAACTGTGTAATTAACTGCATGGACCACAATTGTTTTGAGAGCTAGTCAGAACATTCAAATAAGAATTTTCTTGTATATTATCCATCATCTAGTAAATAAAATATAAAACGTAAAAACGACGTTTCGGAGATAGAGCCCCATCTCCGAAACGTCGTTTTTACGTTTTATATTTT